TCGCCGTGTAAACGCAGAAGATCGATGGGAGACTGTTATTCTCACCTGTGGTATCGGAAGCTAGCAGTTTACTGACAAACCTATGGTTACAGGGTTTGTTTTTGTTATATATTTATTAATACGCATTATTTCACAATTCAAGTTTTCTACGTTATGTCCCGTTTCTTGACCCTAGATATTTCAGGGCTACTGGTGGTATCATATAAATGTGCCTACTTAAGTTTATTTCAAATATGCGAAATACAAGACTGTTGCAGAGTAAGTGTACTGACATTTTGCGAAGTAAAGTCAGCAGCGCCCATCAAGGTCTGTTTTCGATAACAAGCGTATAACGATCTGACTGCAGTCGCCGTAGTGTCGGTGTTCTTTTAGCTGCCATGGGATTGTTGCCATGTCACTGCTCCTTTCCCATTTGGATACAGTGAATGTCTCTTGCGCCTGGGCTCATGTTTTGGAAAACGGTTGTCCGTTTTGTGTCATAGTAAAATTCTAATGATGTTCTCCTATACAGTTAAACGTTGTAGAAGAACTCCGTCCACCTGATTCCTAAAAGCGGCGACTGGCATCTTAACTTGGCGCTTCAGTCTTATTGTTCATGGCGTGATCTTTTACAACAAGGGTTTCGGTCAGTTGCCTCCATATTACCTTATTTCGGTCTTCGCGTGGCCGAACCAACAGAACCTGATTTCTATAAGTTTTCATATAATTCATCCTACAGATAAAGTGTTTCGTGTGAAGGTATTCCCGATGTGGTCCTTTTTGTTAACGCAGCACATCCATCACTTGCATTTCTACGGAGTCCGGCTGTTGTTCGTGTTTCTTTAAGGTAGCTAAACGTTCCGCTTGACAGAAGTGCTTATTTTACTATCATTTTGTACACTTTTTCCTTCAGTTTGATGGGCTTTTTATCCCACAGTAAACCTTTCATCTCCCTCAGTTTGAACGATAGCTTTCGACCGATTTTTAGTTCACTGTCGAATCCCCCATTGTCGTGAAGAACAGAGCCAATTCTTGGATTTGAGGCAGCATACACCTGTTACTTTCAAAGATTCGTTGGCTTTATCTTTGTTATGAACGCGTTGTATATTATAACTTTCGTTTACTGAACCGAAGACCGTTTTATTTAGGAGTTCTGTCGATGCTTTAGTTTTTCTTCTAATGTTTCTCTGCTTTCACCGCGCAGCACAGTCATCTTCATGGAGAATGCAGCGTGTGGCTGTTTTTTGCAGAACATTCGGTTATTGCGTTTGTCACCATCGAGGCATCAGCTTTCCTATATGTTTAAACTGAATATATTGTTTCTATTCATTAATGCAGAGAAACAGAAGGGACAAAATTAACGTTTGCTTTCAAGTTCTGTTTTTCAGTCAAATCGAGATTTTATCAGCTGTGTTACAGCAGCTTCATTGATCCTGCGTAAGACTTATAATTTATACTTTTCCGGATCGGAGGTAAGGAAACAGCTTGAACTGTCCTCGTTTAAGTTTGGTTTTGGTGCAGTGCTGATCATCAGGCCACTGATCTTGAAAAGGACACGTACACATTGTTCCCTGTTTTGAAACACGGTTTCAGTTAAGCGGTTTCAACTTTTCTCTTTTTTTCTTCCTATGCGTTATCTGTAACAGTATTTGTAAACAGTTGCTGCGTTGCAGCTTATCACAGTAGTGTTACAGACGACAGATTAAACCCACAGCTTAGCGAGGTAGTGCAAGCTAGCAACACATCTTTACACAGGACACGATTACTATTGCTTGATAAATATCCCTGTATATTTCCTATTGTAATAACCATACCTCCAAGCCTACAAGCAGTACTCCACTTGACTAGGTGTTGACTGAGTACACTCGAATCCGACGACAGTTGTACATAGTATTCATTATCATGCATTGGTCGCAATGTACTGCTTTATTCTTTAATGAAGCATTGCCGTTTAGACAAAAGCCATTGTCTTTCTTTCGCCACGGAGTAGAACCTTATATGTTCCTCGTACTCTTTCCATGCAAAAGGCTGTTAACCTACAGTAGATTACCCTGTGTCATTGCCGTTGTGTTTACGCAACTTTTTTATCGTGTTTTCCAACGATGTCGTCATAATTGCCACTCGTTTCAAACGTTAATTAATTGCTCAACGGACGATGACCAGTGAGGACACCTTGAAGGGCATAAAACCGGTTAGAGTCATGTTAATGCATCTCAGAAGCCGGTCGCTAACTTTGGCGGTTGGTTTGGAAAGAATGGCAACTTTGCATCCATTGGTATGTCGGTTTTCCTTCCGCTTTCATGATCGATCTGTTCTGAAGCCGTCGTTCTCTCTAAGTTAACGGGGGTCTCACTGATCTTCATTTCCATGTCATTAGCCAGGAGTATCTTATGTTTGAAGTCATAGTCAGCGATCGTGTGGCAAACGTAGCATTTAGTCTCCTCTCCTACTTCATTCCCACAAAATGGTATTCATTTATCGACTTCGGGACGAACAAGGCCAGTGATTTGACAGATCCGACACGCTGTCGATTGAGTCACTCCTGCCTGAAGCAAAATGTGGTAATTCCTTTATTAAGAAAGTTCTAGAATAAGTCAGTGATTGCCATGGAGCGGAATCGAAGCCACTGTCCCTTGACTTCTAAGCAAGCCTCTTATGCACTGTACTGGCACGATGCTGCAGAATTCTGACTTGTTTCAAGAACGACTGAAGAAGAGTGTGCCATTACGCAAGATATGCAAATGATTCGTTCTGTCATTTAAAATGCAAATTACCTTATTATTATAACTGAGTATGTTTCATCTGAATTTCAGAGTCCGACCGTTTAATGGTTGTAAGCGCTGTCAGATCAGCAAATTTGCGCCATGTTCTTCTTTCAAAGCAATGTGTTTGCATTCTTTATCAGCACTTCTCTTCAAATGCTCTTCGTGTCATCCTGCATTGCTCATAACATTTCGAAAAATTTTCCCTCCACTTGTAATTTGTTCTTCCGATATACCTATGCAGCTGTTCAACGGCAAGCTGTCAATTTTTATACATGACCACTTTGTTTCATCCCCTAATGATTCTTAAGACAGACTCGGTCTCTACGGTACTCTGATAATGCACCATGCATATTACTTCTTTATTGATTGTAATTGTGATATTGAATAATAAAAAATCCACACTCTAATGACGTAAGCATTTCATTCTGTATTTTGTAGTGTACATCGATGGCAGTTCGGCAGTTTGAAATTACACGAAAATCATGCAGATGACTGGAAAATGGTCCATTGCCGTTTACGCTCTACTTTCTACTAGTGTGAAGCTGTCTCCACAGCTGTCAGAGAATCACAAAGCTTTAAGTATTCAATTGTTCACTGGATCTGATTATGTCCGTCACTATAATCAGGGTTCATGCTTACGGACGTTAAGAGGGCATGATTGTGCCACTGACAAAATATAGCATCCTAATGAAATTTCATGATATTAGAACGAAGGTACCGAATTGAACCTGCAAAAATGCAGGGTGTAAAGAAAGAAAAAATCTTTGTTTCCAACTGCGTTATTGCAATACATAGGACAGAATCTTAGACCATGGTGTCAAGGTGTTTGTCTGCAGTGCATAGGACGCCAGACCACGTATCTTATTTGGGTTGAATAAATGAATGTTCAAACCCAAACGCAACGATTCGTAGGCGAACAAAAAATGAAATTTTCTCCCTTTTCCTTCATACGTTACGTAGAGAATTTCTCTACTAGAAAACACTACTGAATGAAAATCTTGTCACGAAGGAAAATGAATTTTTGAATGGGATTTCAGTTTCCTTGAGCAATTGTCATCGGCATCATATTTTATTTTCTTCAAGATCATAAGACGTAAGAGCATGGTATATGCTCGTACGCTGAAGTTTTTTGATTACGTCATAACTCCTGCCCTTCCAGATTTTATATAGAAACGCATCCTCATTCTTGTGAATATTTCTGCTTGGAATAGTGTGTGATTGAACTAAATAAGCCTTCTTTCATTCTGTGAAAGCAAGAGCCAAATATTGACTTCATTTACTGCACAGGCAAAGCTCTGCACTCTGCTTTAAATCTGTTGATTGGCACCTAATGTCATAGTGAATTTAACACGATAATCATCATATTCGGTATTTACGGGATTTTAGTTCGGAAGATTCAGTAAAATTGTTAATTAGTCCTTTCAGCAAGCACAAAGACAGAAAGAACATCCCGCTGGTCGGTCATATCTATATGGTCAAAGATCCTAAAGGTATTTGAGACAAACTGAAAGATGTGCTGTTATTCTGCCTATCCGTCTGTTGGCACGTATTTTGTGCTACAAACGTATGGAGTATATGATTGAGTGACCTGATTGAAGCTTTACAGTTCGGAATATCGTTAATATATTCGACATGCTTTGCAAACGGACGTGACAAGTCAAATAGAAAAACGTTTTATTTCTTTTTCTTTCTTCCTCACGTTCTCTGCATGTCTCAGATCAACAATCTGTTTTTCTTACAATGGTTTACTGTTTTGTAATCAGTAGAGCTGAATCCCTCTCTCCTACTTGTATCTGTCGTACCTCGTTTGTACAGGTGCAACTTTTCAGCATCTTCGTATTGTATTCGGTTCGACTCTTGCGGTTCTGAGCAAGGAGATGACACATCGAGCGAAATCGTAATTAATTGCCACAATTTAAAAATCAAAGGCTTTAAGCTACACGAACATCATTTCATTTCTCAGTTTATTCGGCACACCTAAAACTGATGACATTAAGCGAATTAGAAAGGTTCGACCATTTTTGGCTGTTCCATGAAGGCTAACCGGAATAACCTATTTGGAACTATTCAGCTATGACATTTCTTTAATTGAATTCATAATTAAGCAATCAAGGAAACAATGGTACAACGCTGGCCCTTTCAGGTTGCGCACGGGGGTGGTAGCTTTGGGGAACAGAAAACGACACTTAAAGTAGTATGCGTCACTCTTGTCGTCTTTCATGCAACGTTCCTCGATAGTTGGTTTTACGTAGTCCAGGCAGCTAACGGGCAAAGTACCGAAAGTTTTAACGCCCGTTTATCTTCATTTGAGGAAGCTACTGTATCACCTGGGGTGTAATTCAATTTGTTTGCATACACACACATTTGCGCGTACTGAATGTTGGAGGAAAGAAAAAGTTGTGTAAAAGTTGGACCGTAGAGGAGAGGCCCAACGCGGGGACGGCGAAGAATGACACCTTGAGCAAGTGTCTTGGCAGAATCGGAATATCTTCTTCCGATGCTTAGACGCTGGTGCAGGATCGGGGATGTTTGATATTCATGGACTGATTTTGCTGCTTCCGCGATCCCAAAGGATATGCATTCATCGAAACTAACATCATAAGAAGTTTGATTGTCATTTTTGTAGCACCACTTTATTGCTCTTGTTTCGTGTGAACGCATAACGTGCCGACCGTCAGTCAAGAGAACTGTGTTCCTTGAAGATAGTAAATATAGCTGTTACGCTATTGTCGTGTAGTGGCCCCTCCCAATATTGTGATCATGGTTTGCCTCCCATGATATGTTTTATGTATCCTCATTTGTTACAGTTGGTTACCCTTCTATCGTGAAAGTCTAATATAAAACTGATTTCCGTCTCGATGCTTTCGCAGGCGAATGTTTTGTATTTTCTACAAGGTCGTCTACAGCTCTGCATCATATATGGGAAGTTGCCGTATGTTTCCTTCCATTGGTTGAAGAATTTTTTTCTCTCCAATGATCAAAACTGATGCGTACATTTTCCATAGCATGTGACTGCTGAATACTGGTCGATTAAATCTGAGTAGAAACAGTATTGTTGCCGTAATATTATGGTACAGAAAATCAGTATATTGTTTATGTTTTATTATTTAATAAGCTGCGGTAAAGCCAAAATTGGCCGACCATAGAATCTTTACTAAAAGACCTGTTCGTTTATAGTAATGTCGCAGGTAATAAATTCGACTGATTAATGATTACCTAATCTACCTCCATTATTGGACCATATAATGCGTTATGAAATGTTTATGTAATAAAAATAACCCGCGGTATTATGTGTTTCGTGCAAAACGGCTTGTTGTTGATTTCCTTCGTAGGAATAACATTCTCCTGTCAATTTTCCGGATTTACGTGGCGTAGCGCAAATCTTTCCTTTCCTTCTACTATCTTACAGGATTATTTAAGCAAACTACAGCTCCGAAGAAGTGACAGAAGATCGTTATTTTTAACGCGGTATCGAACACTGTCAGTTTGCGAACAAATCCAAAATATCTAGGTT